ACAGTGTGAGGGTGTGTGTGTGTAAAGGTTGTTTAAAAAGTCATCGGTCACTGTTCTTTGTTACTTTCCTTAAATAGTAAGAAGCTACAAAGTGATCTTTCATTCAAATTAACTCATTAATGCACTTTGTCCTTTCTTAACCCTGTTTGGGGAAAATACTGAAGTAAGGCTTGTGCTAGCAGGTTTCTGTTTTTTGTGCATTTGTGAATGCACAGAAAACTCTTATCCATGTATTACTGAAATAATCTCATCAATACCTGTTACACAAGAAAGAAAATTAGTCAAATTAAATTAGTAAAGCTAATTTTGAGTTAAACACACACTATGTGATTTCTGGCACTAGGGGTCTCACGTCAACACATTTACAAAAGACACAATTGATGACATCCTGAAATAGCATGGCATCGTGGGAGTTGTCGTCGTCACTGTTAAACTGATGAAATCAGATATGACTGTTCACACACGAGGTGTTGCATTAAAGTTTTAGAAACGTTACATTTAGTCACGTCCTCCAACTTTCTCACTCTCTCTGGTATCCAGTGTTTCCCTGGAAGTTATAGCAAGTTTTTTCTCGACCTTCTATCGACCTTCGATCACCATCTGTGTTGAATTTGGACAGAAAGCAGGAGTTACTGCTCTGTTGGACAAGCTGCTTTGAAGGTTGGAAGACGTCACAATTTTAAGGCCTCAGGTGTTTATTCTGCGATGGATGGCATTGGGAGGGTTGGGAGGGACTTTTCAACAGAGGCTGAAAAGTCGAGTCTAATCTAACATAACACATATTACACATTTATACTAGTTTAGATAGACCTAGTAGTTTGTGAAATTCTACAAAGTATGGTGTAAAAGGATCATTTTCGATTAAACTGCTGATCAGGAGAAAAAGGTAATTATATTCTAAATATAAAGAGGAACTAATAAAATATACATGTATGTGCATCAGATAGAGTCTGCATGTTTGTAAATGAGCATTCACCCACACATGCACTATAAGTGTGCTGAACTGCATGTGCAAAAGTGTGCGAGTGCGTGACCTTACCACAGTGAGACCTTTATTGCATTAACCGTTCCAGAGGTTCCAGTGTGTGTTTGTGTGTTTATGTTACTTCAGCCCCCTCCTGCTGTGTGTTTGTTATTCGCTGCGAATTTGGGAGTCCGGGTGAGTCCTCTAGCACAGCATGGTCACTTCTCTTTCTCAGACCACACACACATACATCCACACGTTTCATACACACACATGCACTCACAGAACCACTTAATCCCATTTCCCTAAGCAGTCCAATGCACGACACTGAGAATCCCATCAATGTCACAGTTTGAATCACTGCAGTACAATCAACTGGCAGCTACTGAGTAGAAAACCAATGAATCTGTCAACTCACTAGCCTGGTAAAAGGAGGGAGGAAAAAAGCCTCTTTGTTTTAGTGCCAGCACCCGAGGGCAGCCATCCGCCAGCAACAATAGCACTGCCATGTGGACGGTGCGCACACCCATCACCTGAGAACCAAACCAATAAACACATTATCTATCCCAGCGGCTGTAATAATTTCTGACTGAGCTGCAGTGGAACAATAGGTGGCATTTCATTTGAGATTCTCTGGTAGAGGCTATTATTACTATTACGATGCTCTTTATGCAAAACTGCTGAATACCTGAGGGTAAAAATGGGGCACTCACGATGGCCAGGATGGAACAAGGAGGTTTAAAAGATTTTCTAGATGAAAACGGAGATAGCAAGAGGTGAAAGAAATGCAGGAGTTTTTTTTTTTCCTTTTTTTTTTTCTTTTCATTTTGTCTTGTCTCGGTCTATTTGCATAATTAGTAAGGAGGTTATTGCCAGGGGTGCTGGGCCTTGAAAGCTATTGGCCTGAAGGAATAATTAAGTCACTCTCTTATCCCTGGCATCTTCGGAGTGCAGAAAGCCAGCGAGTGATCTAAGGGTGTGCACGGGCCAAAACGCGAGCTGATATGTTCTGAATGGGAACGATGTTGTCTTCTAAGAAAGCCTAATGCATGATTTATGCTTTGTGCCACCCTTACAATGAGAGAACAGAATTATTCCAAGCAACTGTGAAAGACCCCCCCAGAACTCTCACACACACACACACACACAATTTTTATTTATTCAAGGGAGGTTTGCTGAGCACGCAAAGCTCTGCTTCGTATTCACACGTGTTCACATATGGGAGCTGCCAAGTGCATCTACGGCCTTCCACTGTTGGCTTCTGAGCAGCAGCTTTTCCAGACTATTCCACAGTATTTAAACCAGTCGTGACACAACTGTTTATGTTTGTGAATCATCGCATTCATGTTAATGCACTCTTAAGTACGACATGTGGCAACAATAAATTAGCTTCCACAGTAACTCCAACCAGAGACCACACAAGTTAAAAGTTACAGACCTTTCAGCTGGTCTGTCATTATAAACTATATCTATAATTTTGTTGTCCTCATTGTCTGTACTGTAATTTTACTATGCTGGTCCATTCTGTACACACGACATCTATTGCATGTCTGTGGGTTGCTGTTTTTTTAGGTGAATTCTCTAAGGACATAGGGTGCTGTAGGGTGCTGTAGGGTGCTGTACAGATTATAATTGAGGCAACTTTGGGATTTGTGATATTGGGCTCTATAAATAGAAATGGACTTGACTTTGAATACAAGCATTGGTCAAACTTGCCCAACTGTGATTTAAAAGGCTGTTTCACCCAAATTACACACAAAAACACCCAATTTTATTTTACTACCTGTAGTGCTATGTTGCCATGCAGGTAGTTTTGGTTGCTCAGTGCAGTGAACAATAACAACTGCAGGTAATCGGATAGGCATCAAGCAGAGTCAACCAGCTTAAACCCAGAGCCTACTGGCCTTTATCCTCTGTTCTTAGCCCACAGTGGCAAATTAAACAACGGTTCAAATCAAGCTTTAATCCTTCCCCTGCCTTTCCAATCTCACTTTGACACAAAACTGCAGCGATGTTCTTAAAAATGTGCTGCTTTGATATTTCAAGGTCAAGCCAAGTGCATAGAAAAAAAATGGACCATCATTCTTAAGTTTTAATACCAACTTGATTTGAACTGATTAAGAAACCACATGGAGGAAGAAGATCCAAACTATTTTACGAGACAAACTGGGGTTGAATTTTCCCCTCAGGTGGTGAGGAAAAAACACTCCACTGGGCTGATTAAGTGTTTAATAAGCAGGGAAATGTCTCATGTGTCTGTGATAGTTAGTAATTATATAGTGCACATCCCTCCACAGGCCAACCTCGGAGGTTTCTTGCATCTGGTGTCCCGCCTTGTTGAGGTTAGGTGAAATATTAGAAGGAACAGGCCACTCTAGCCACCCTGACATCTTAATTTTCCCGCTTAGCCCTGCCAACCTGAAGGGAAAACACAAAAACACACCGGACAGAGGACCCAGAAGCAGCAGGTGTTGGGGGCACGCACGGTGTGTTTAATCCTCAGAGGATGAGGGTTGGATGTCACTGAACGCTGTGACAGCACTGACGTGAGGTCATTTAAGGTTAGAACCATCTTTTGCATAATCCTTCCTGTTCTTGTTAAGGCTGATGATTGCCAACTGCTCCACATTTTGAATAACATTTAATTCAAAGGAGGACTGAGGCCAGAGAGGCAATAACAACATAGCATTTCATTCATCATATTTTTCTTTACTTCCTTCCTGTTTTGTGCCAGCAGCAGTCACTCCATGAGTCTTCAATCCTACTGTATCTACCAATGTCTGTCTACCTAACCTATATACCAAACTACTGTTAGCTTTTTACCTTTGTCCACCCTAAAGTATTTCTTTATTTCCTTTCTTTCCCTGTTTCTTATGCCCTTCTGCTGATTTCTGTTTTTGTATTCATCTATTCTTTTGTTCAAAAATGTACAGCAAGTTGCATCTGGTATTATCTACCCATTCTACACAGAAATGCTTTATAATGCTGAAGCAAGGATTACTGTCCTCTCCACAAAATCTACCTGCTCTGCTTGTTTATTGCTTGTTTTGTTGTCTTTTACTAGAGATAATTGCAACCCAGCACCTGCATCAGGCTAACAGTACTGTTTAAATGAGGGTGTCCCGATCAATTCTTTTGGCCCTAATCCAGGTCGGAGTCCTTGTGCTGCTGAGAGCACTTGAACTTGGGCCAAAATGAAACTTGTCCAATGTCAAAGTTTCATTTTGGCCTAATCAAGTTACTCACAGTATTAACATTAATTAGTAGCAGCTGATATGACCTGCCACCTCCACCATTTGTAAAAAGTGTATCATTCACCGGTGAGCCCAAATACTTTTCATAAGCAGGGATATTGAAGAGACTGTTTATAGTCTTTTTGATTGTGTTTTAACTTGTAATATATGTCCATAGTATGGACGCCTGTTGGCTAAGGACAAAAACAAAATCACAAACACAGCCAGTAAGATGTCCCTGGATATGTCCATGTATGCTGGCAGCTCCATTGTTGTCCTACTGTATATTTAGAGTGATTTCATGTACTCACTGACTTCATACAGCACTTTGATCGGCTCTAGCTGTTATAAAAGCACTGGGCCTGTAGATACAGAAATCAGCTCGTCTGTTCGGTTTGATGACAATGATCTCGTTTGCCACTGTTGAGCAGGCAACTGCTGTATCTCTTACATATCTGCCTTGTGCTTTCACTCCCGACCCTGTACGCTCATTAGAAGCCCTCGCTGTTTGTTAAGCACGGATGAAGGCAGCCACTGTGGCGGCCTCCAACTTCACCTATTAACACTTCCTTTGCCAGTCATAACTCACACTTTTTTTTGTTGTTTACAGGAACAACAGTGTCAATGTCAACCAATTTGCATGAAAGGAAAACAGGTTCACACCTTCACATTATGTCTCATTGATTAATGAGGTAAAGTTGGAAGGAGCTAATTTAAAAAACAGATTAAAAGTTGGTGTACCAACTCTTCCTCTGCTTAATTAATTTACAATTAAAGGCATTTGTGTGCATTATTTTCTGGACTGACTGTAATAGTTGGAAGTGTGGATAATCTTAGTCAAAGCAAAGAAACAACTGCACACAACAAAAAGTGAAAGGGTCATTTTGTACTTTCTTGATTTTAACACAAGTGAGCTGAGCAGTTACACCATCTGGTGTACAGAAGCCTTTCTGTGACATTAGGCAACTTCACCACCCATCCATCAATCATTCAAGTGCTACACACATGCAATCGTGTACAGATGCGTGCAGAGCTCTCACACACGGATACAAATATGCTTACTAATCTTTTTCACTTAATCCAACATACACACACACACACACACACACACTCACTTGCAAACCAACTCAGAGTTGGTTTGAGCAATAACATCTTCAAAGACTGATGAGCATGCAAACTAACAAAAGTACACAGACACGCTTTCAAAAAACACACACAAAAAAAGAATCAATCACTAGCAGAGCGTCTGCAGCTGAAAATTATCCAGGGGCTGTTTTTCCATCTCTGTCTCTCCCTGACATTTTCCGAGACATTAAAAGCCATTGAGTCTTGACAGGAACTGAGACTAGAAGGCACAAGTAGCCCATACTCTGTTGATAAAACGTGGCAGGATAGACCACCAAACCAAAACGAGGAAAACACTCACTAAAAGAGGGGAAATGTAAATACTGCACTTGTTTTCTTACAGTTACCATATTTTTCTGTGTCTGCTACACAGTAATATTCTTATAGTGTATGTCTAACTAGAATCTATACTGATTCACCATATGATACTCAGCACCAACACTAGTGCTGCATAGTAATACGGCATTGTATCAGACTGAGATCCAGATAAGAATGCCCACAGAACTCGACAAACCCTATAATCAGTAGCAACTGGATGAGAACAACGAGCTAAAAGCAATAAGTTCAAAGAAAATGTCAATCTTACCTATTGTGCGTGGCATCATGCCTTGTCGTGGCATCAAGTTGTCATCAAGGCCCTCCAGGCCACCGTACAAGGAGTGGGAGATTCGGCGCTCGTGGTCGTCCAGAGAGGTGTTCATAGTCTGCTGAGGTCCCAGTGGGCTCCCAGGTGCCTCCTGAATGAGAAGGGACGTGATATTAGAAATATCTGGCTAAGTACTGTATGGTTTGTTATCATGGATTATGCTCATAATGTCTGTTTTGACCAGTTGAACCACTTGTGAAGTGCTTTGAGAAGGCACCGGCCTTTGGGTTTATAATCCTTTGCGCATGAGTAGAAAGTTATTAATTCATGTACTACACCTTTTGTCCAAGTTAGAGCACAGTGCAACCTGAAACATATCCATGAACTGTACACAAACATGAGGCAGAAAGTGCTAGAGTCCTACTAACACTAAATAAAAGTCAGAGAATGAGGCAGAAGGGAACTAGCCACACTAATATTTGTTGAACAGTAATGGATGGACAGGGCAGCTATCCATGCTAATGCTAGCAGTGTGATAACCAGGATGAATAAGCATGGATTTCCAATAGGCTGTTTAGCCACAGGCTGTTAGCGAGCTAGTGTTCCCCCTGCAGGGGATGGCTAACTTGCTAGCATCTTGACATTTCCCTCAGGACCCATGATGACACTCTCTTGTTTGCTGGACAAATAGACCATTTGCTGGCCCTGTCATCCATCCAAACACACATCCATGGCGAGACGTTGTGTGTTTGTGTGTATATGCCTGCACCCTCATTGTTTATCCATTGGATAGTTGGCTGTATTGATTTGCTATGGTTTCTGCGTTTATTGCTGAAGGGGATGACAGCTCTTGCCATAAAGATAACCATCATCACGGCTTCATGTAACGAGCGATAACACTATCACACTCGAGTTAATACTGGAGCTACATTAGCCCGATCAATGACTACAACTAGCTAGGCTGGGATTCGATTTTGGCAGAAGGTCTTTGCCCAATGATCCTTTCAGATCACTAAATGGTTGAGGTGCTGTAATAACCCATGCCAAACACATTCTGATGATAACAGACAACTCCAGTTTACAGGAGAAGACATAACATTAGGAGGCTAGCAGAAGCGAGAAGCTTAATGAAGTGGATTTTAGACTAGAAGGCTGCTTGTTTAAGTAGAAGATCCACAATGTAGATGCTGCATTTACACACAAGCAGCACAACTTATTGAATATATTCATTAGTAACAACATATAATAATTTAAAAGATGATCAACCATAGCTAAGGTAAGTGCTTGAATAAATGCACTTGGTTACCAGTCCATGAGCAAGGCACTCTAACTGTTATAATGGGGGTAATGAAAGCTTTAACGATAACTTCTTATCCAAAGATCTAGTATCATACTATTATACGATCATCAACTACAGGTGGAACAAAAACAACAACTTATTTTTACTTAATTACTGGACAAAAGGACCGGCTTGAATCACTTCAAACAGATCCAATCGAACCTGCACACAGATACAACAAATCACCCACGGAAACAAACTAATGTCTAAGGTCACCATACGGTGCTGTGACTGTTGGCATGCGGCTGCTCTTGACTTTAAATGAGACAGTTAATGAATAGGCCGGCTGAGGGGCCGAGGTGAAATGCCTCAGTAATAGCCGAGGGGATTCGCCATACTGAGGCCGCATCGACAAATCACACCGCAGCTCATTGCATATTCAGGCTGATAATTGAGCTCTGGGAAGGTCTCGATCCCATCGGGTGCCAACGGTGATGAGGAAGTCAGCTGCTCTGGGTTCTCTGTGTTTCTATGGGGATGGAGGAAGGAATGGGAGCAGTTGGGCTTGTGATTTATGCAACGGCAAACATTTGAGATTGATTTGAGATTGGCTGTCAAGGGATGGAAACATGGGGAAGAAAGTAAATACAGGATTATTTGATCCCATATGTCAGTATGGGTATGACAATATGTCAAAATGAGCCACAGATTTGATCCTATAGTAATTAGGTGTTATTTGATTTTCACTAATACTTGATGGACAGCTGGTTATGTGTATTAACAATCTATAGTGACTCTATAGGGAGTTTCTAAATCAGCTCTGAGCAGCGTCTTTGACTATAAGTGTATTAAATTGTTGTTTTGCTCCTATCTGAGTGGCTTGGACACCATTTCTTATAAATAGCCAGACACTTGGACAGCCTCAGGCCATGCCTCCAGCTCTGCATGTGAAGTAGAGATTGACGAGACTCCCAGTGCTCGAATTTTATTCATCCACCATGCTGTGTGTGAAGTCTCACTGCCTTGACACGGCCGCACTACACAGACACAGACACAGACACA